CTCTTTTTTTTTTTTTTTTTTTTTTTGGTGGGGGGGGATCAATTTCTTCTTTTGGCTTGTTTACCTTAGAATGCAAAAACTGATCTGCCTAAATGGTAGTGACAAGAGCCACGCCATGTTAAAATTAAAAAAAAAATAAAATCATATTGTTACTGATTATGATAAGAAAAATTAATGACATCATAATAAGACAATGTAGATTTTAATTGTTTATGGCTCGTTTGATGGGAAAGGAGGATCAATTTCTTCTTTTGGCTTGTTTACCTTAGAATGCAAAAACTGATCTGCCTAAATGGTAGTGACAAGAGCCACGCCATGTTAAAATTAAAAAAAAAATAAAATCATATTGTTACTGATTATGATAAGAAAAATTAATGACATCATAATAAGACAATGTAGATTTTAATTGTTTATGGCTCGTTTGATGGGAAAGGACAAGGGCTCGTGAAGATTTGTGCGTGTCCCACTGTAACCATTAATCTTTTAGATGATTTGAGGGAAAAAATAAAAGAAAGTTAATCAGATTCGTTTCCGCAGAACAGGCCAAGGTAAAATAAATAAATAAACGAAGCTTAATGTAAAAGCCTAAAAGAAAACCACATGTCGTTGCCGTTCGACATAAATCTTAACAGCATGTTGGTTTTCATACACAACGACTTGTTGTCTTTACATAATACCAACTCTATGTCGTTTTGTGATCTAAACGACTCAAAATTATCCTAACCCGAGGCATGTCGTTTATCACGTAAAAGACATCTCTTTTCACATAATCGACCCAGTGTGTGACAAACAACAATTACATGTCTTCCGCACATTGACGGAAGAAAATTATAAAATCACTAAAAGAAATTGGCAAACCAAGGAAAATTTTGAAAATTACAGGAGCCATGAACATCGTTTTTCTCACAAACGACAAGTCGTTCAATGTAAAGGACAACAGATTTCGAACTACATTGTTTTTAATAATAAATAAAACGACAATATAATAAACACATCTTTTGAAACAAGGACGTGTCGTTTTCAGAATAAAAAAACAAGGACGGGTCGTTTTCAGAATAAAAAAACAAGGACGTGTCGTTTCACAGACGACAAGTAGCCAATACATTCTATGAACACAATATAACATTGTTTGTTTAAATGACAGACGACAACAAATTTAGGGGCAAATGAAAATGTTCGTTTATCTAAAAGCCTACAATTCTAGAAAAATGGCACGTCGTTATTTTACTGATTAGAGAAACAACTATGATTTACATTATTCAAACGACACCACCATCTTTACTCACAAAACGACGTGAAGTAATTTCCGACACAAACAGCAGGAAACTTGTAAATCGAAAACTGTACGCTGAAGACAGCAAGAGACTTGTATTTAGGAAGAAACAATCGATATGATTCCTTTAACCGGCGAAAAGTTAAGAGCTATAAACATCAATGAACACATACTACAATTTAGAAATCTAATTTGAATAGTTAAAAGCTATACTTGGGATTTTCTCCTCTCCATCAGCATTCAATTTTTCCTTGTAAAATACCAGTTACAATGGCCTTAGAAAATAAACATCGATTGTATATAATAATCTCTCCGCTCCAAAATGAGCATGTCTAGAAATTTCATAATCTAACAATAACAACTTTACTGCTCCAACATCAAAAGGTTCCTAACATTCACTGATTTTTACATGATTAGTTTAGTTCTCAGTTAACTGACCACATTCCTCAATAACAACAGGTTGACTAGTCTTGCCAGTATCCAAACCCACACTCTCCATCTGCTTAACAACGCTATAACCATCAACAACTTTCCCAAACACCACATGCTTCCCATCAAGCCAAGAAGTCTTCTCAGTGCATATGAAGAACTGAGATCCATTGGTATTCGGCCCGGAATTCGCCATTGAAAGAACTCCCGGCCCCGTGTGCTTCATCTTGAAGTTCTCGTCCTCAAACTTCAACCCGTAAATCGACTCTCCTCCGGTCCCATTTCCTCGCGTGAAGTCTCCACCCTGGCACATGAAGGTCGGGATAATGCGGTGAAACGTTGAGCCCTTGTAGTGAAGTGGCTTCCCGGATATCCCAATCCCCTTCTCTCCGGTGCACAGGGCGCGGAAGTTTTCTGCGGTTTTCGGGGTAGCGTCAGAAAACAGCTCAAATACGACCCGACCCGCTTTCGCCTTTCCAATCAGGATGTCAAAGAAGACCCTGGGGTTCCTCGACATTTTGTCAAACTCAATTTGACAGCTACCAACAAAAAAAAATCAATTTCCCGTTTAGAAATTAAGAATTTTATCATCATTTCCCAAACGAAAATCACCAAGACCAGAGTACTCAGTTCTCATAACAATCATTTAGAATAAATAATCCAAAAAATATAGCAGATCAACAACTCGTAGATCCAAAAGAAACACACTTGGATACCAAAAACCAAACAAAAAATGTTTCTTTAGGATAAATTTCGCTGAAAATAGCAGAAAAATTGCAAGAAACAATTAAGGAAATGAAGCAACAGAGACAGAAAATAGGAAACGGCAAATGGATAGAGAAATGTTCATCATCCATGAAAGAATCCTCAAGTAAAATGATTAATTTATCATGAGGGTGTTAAAAGTTGGATGATTTATGATATTGCACAGCTTTTGAGCTCATGGGTTTCTGAGAAAATCACTCACAAGCCTTCGATATGTGCTTTATTTTATCTTTTTCATGTTTTTCTTTCTTTTTTTTCTCGGTACACATTTAACACATTAAAGAAGAACAGGAATTAAAATGAATACAGAAGCAGAAGCAAGAGATGAGAAATTTGCACTATGTACCTTCGATTAAGACAAGCTTCAGCTTGATATGAAAGAGGCTACGGAGATTGAGAACGAGATAGTCTTTAGAGCTTTAGATACAAGCCATTATATAGGCGCAGCTTGTATTAGGCGCAGAGCAAAAGAAAGGGGTTTAGGGTTTTGGGGGTTTCGTTAGTGTTGGTGATTTCTTTTGCAGTTTTACTCTCTACTTTAGCATATTTCTTATTTTGCCCCTCTTTCTTTTGTTTTTTATCCATTGACTACACACACAAAACAAAAATTTTTTTTTTTTTCCTTCAGTTATGCCATAGGGTAAGGAAAAGAAATGTTGAATACGGTAATGAACAAGCAAATTACATTAGGATAAAATTAGATTAAAAAAATACGATTTTCTTACTAGTATTATTTTCTCGTATCTTATCACAATATTCTCCTTTGTTTTTTTTCCTTTTTTTTATAATTTGGACAACAACAAAAAAAATTTGTGACCGCATACCTTTGACTGATTTTTTTTTTTTTTTTTTTTTTGTAAGCCAACATTTTTCTATTCCGGGGGCTTGTGGTCAATTCCAATTTTGATCTCTCGAGATATTTTCATATAAGATCCTAAGGAAGGGAGAAAGTGAAGAAACAAATATGTATCGACTATTTTAGCCAAAAATCCTAAACTGCAATAATGAAACAATGGACATAGTGATGGTAACAAGCAAGCTTTATCTCTCAACACCTTCGCTCCTGTCCATCACACTTCAAGCACTACAACACCAACAATCCAATAATCTTCCCTCCAAACTCAGTTTCACACAAACCCCACAAAAGCACCAAAAAAGTTCATCCTCCACTCATTATGATCACCCCAATATTGATCAAACCCAGCAAATCCATGCCCACATGATCAAGACCCACTTTGACCACTCCCTCCAGATTCCTCTGAGTTTCCTTCCCCCCCATTTGAGCCCTGAAGCCCAGTACAACTTCTTGATAACCTCTTACAATAACAACAACTTCCCAAAACAGTCGCTGAAAATCTACGCTCACATGCGAAGATTCGACGTCCAAGTTGACAGCTTTACCGCCCCATCTGTCCTTAAAGCTTGCGGGCAATGCTCGTTAGTTGTACTTGGAAAGGAGATTCATGGCTTTGTGTTGAAGAATGGATTGGATGGTGATGTTTTCGTGTGTAACGCTTTGATGCAGATGTATAGCGAATGTGGGAGCGCGGTTTCCGCACGCTTAATGTTCGATCAAATGGCTGAAAGAGATGTCGTTTCTTGGAGCACAATGATTAGGAGCTATGTTAGGAATAGATTGCTAGGAGAAGCATTGGATCTTATAAGGGAAATGCATTCTGTAAGAGTGAGGCCTAGTCAGATTGCTATGATTAGCATGGTCAATCTCTTTGCAGACCTCACTAATGTTAAACTGGCGAAAACGATGCATGGCTATGTCATAAGGAATATGAATAATGAGAAAATGGGAGTTCCTATCACTACTTCTTTACTAGATATGTATGCCAAGTGTGGTAACTTAGCTTATGCAAGATGGCTGTTTGATGGGTTGACTCAAAAAAGTGTTGTTTCGTGGACTGCTATAGTTGCAGGATACATTCGTGGCAACAGATTAGAAAAGGGGATGAAACTTTTCAAGGAAATGCTTGAGGAAGGCGTTTTTCCAAATGAGATTACAGTTTTGAGTTTGATTATAGAGTGTGGGTTTGTAGGTGCTCTGGAGCTGGGGAAGTGGCTGCATTCCTATATGTTGAGAAATGGGTTTGTCATGTCTCTGGTTTTGGCTACTGCTCTGGTTGATATGTACGGAAAGTGTGGTGACCTTAGAAGTGCAAGAGCTGTTTCTGATGGCAGGGATGACAAAGATGTCATGATTTGGAGTGCTTTGATATCAGCTTCTGCACAAGCGAATTGCCCTAACGAGGCCCGCGAACTCTTTTCCCAGATGAGGGATGAAGGATTGAGGCCAAATGAGGTAACAATGGTCCGCCTGATTTCACTATGTGCAGAAGTAGGAGCCCTTGACTTGGGCAAGTGGCTTCATTCGTACATAAACCAGCAAGGATTGGAAGTTGATTTAATACTTAAAACAGCTCTAGTAGACATGTACGCTAAATGTGGAGACATAGATGCGGCCCATGCGTTGTTCAGTCGATCCACAGATCGAGATATTTGTATGTGGAATGCCATGATGACTGGATTTGCAATGCATGGTTGTGGAAACGAAGTTTTGAAACTCTTCGAAGAAATGGAGATACTTGGCATTCAACCTAATGAGATCACTTTTATTGCAGTTCTTCATGCTTGTAGTCATGCCGGATTGGTGATTGAAGGAAAGAGGTTTTTTGATAAAATGGTTTATGGCTATGGCTTGGTTCCTAAAGTTGAGCATTATGGATGCATGGTGGATCTTCTTGGTCGAGCCGGGCAACTTGGTGAGGCTCATGAATTGATTAAAAGCATGCCTATACAACCTAACGTGGTTGTATGGGGTGCTCTCCTTGCCGCATGCAGGCTTTACAAAAATCCCAGTTTGGGGGAAGTAGCAGCAAAACATCTCCTTGAGTTGGAACCAAAAAGTTGTGGTTACAACATTCTGATGTCAAACATCTATGCCAGCGCCAAAAGATGGAATGATGTTGCTGGAGTGAGAAAAGCTATAAAGGACAGTGGAATTAAGAAGCAGCCGGGTCTCAGCTCAATTGAAGTAAATGGGTTGGTTCATGAATTTTCAATGGGAGACAACATTCACCCTCAAACTGGAAAGATCTATGAAATGTTGGCTGAGATGAGTATGAAGTTGAAAGAGGCTGGTTACACTCCTAACACGTCCGTCGTGTTGCAGAACATTGATGAGGAAGAGAAGGAAACGGCGCTTAGCTGTCATAGTGAGAAGTTGGCCATGGCATTTGGTCTTATCAATACAGCTGCAGGCACAACAATGAGGATTGTGAAGAATCTCCGAGTCTGTGATGATTGTCACGCTGCAACCAAGCTCCTGTCTAAAATTTATGGAAGGGTGATAATAGTAAGGGACCGGAACCGCTTTCACCACTTCAGAGAAGGGTCTTGTTCTTGTGGTGATTATTGGTAGCCATCCCAGTTATTCTTGGTAAATGTAACATAAATTTTCTAACCGTACAGATACAAATTACTCGAGGTTGTCCTCATTATCATTTAACAATTCAAAATATCTCTCGCATTCCCTTGGATTTGAGATCTTTGAATATCTGCGGCTTAACCAGAAAACTGATTGAGAATCGGGTGAATGATTATCCTACCGGAATATGAGGGAGGATTACAAGTTTTCCTTCTTTTTTTTTTTCTTTTAAATGCAACTTATTTGTGTACTTCAAGGGTTAGATAAGGCAGAATAATTTTATTGGGCAACATTTTTGGTGAGTCGTGTACCATAAGAGCGAAATTCTAGCCACATAGCATTCCAAATTCCTCTAGTGACAAGAAATACAAGTTATACATGTAAGGGTATTAATGAATACGGTTCTACACTGAAAGGTCATTTTACATTTGGAAAGACAGAACCTCAATTGACAATTACAGTTTTGTCTCCCTAATAATGATCGACATTCCTGCAAAAATGACTATAAAACAATCAACCAAGCCACTGTTGAGCACGACGGTCTCCACTTCCACCAACAGCATGCCGTATGCTGATCTTTTCACCAGCATACTTTTGCTGCAGCCACTCAAAGGCATTCACATCAAGTTTCCCGCTAACTGATTTCCCTTGCTTTCTACGAGTTTGTTGTTCCCGGATAGAAGTCCAAAGTCTCTCAACGGCGTCTCGTTGTTGAGATGTAAACCTCGCTACGTTGTCAAATGCATGTTTTACTAAGATGTCTATGACTGTTTGGCACCTGCAGCAAGGGAAAAAAGTTTCTAAAAATTGTAACAATTGAAACCATGTTTTTAACTACATTAAGAAAGCCTCTTAGGAATATAAGAAATATGGAAGAATCAAAATATGAGATATACCATGCAGTTTTATAACGCCGAGCAGCAATCTCTAAACAAGTGATCAACGCTTCTCTTTGTGACTTAAGGTATCTCTTAGTCTCGTCCCCCTCCTTGATCTTTATTGTTGCCTCTTTCTTCCCCTTGGTTTTCTTGTTCTTCTTTGCTGTGCTAGGAATAAGAGCATCAAGTCCAAACAGATCGGACTCTTGCTTGCTAGTTTCTTCAGACGGTGCATCTGAAGACTTGTCTATCTTGATTTGACTAACCTCATTTGTTGTTTCTGTTGGATCTTTCAGAGAAGCAGCTTCCTCTATGTCATCATCTTCAGTTGCAACTGGAAGATTAGATATCAGTTCTTTTATTCGTCCAGCTGCTTTTGAAAACTATTTCATAATTTGAAAAACCAAACAACAAGCAGAAAACACAAGTCAACCAATGTGAGAAAATCAAAATGGAGTCAATATATTGAATTTAAACTTAGCTGACAACAAGAATTCATGTTCAGTTCTTCCAACACCCCCACCAGATAGACTAGTACAACTACAGCGTGATAAATTTAGAAAGCAGTTGCGATTACGATTATCATCAGCAATTAACTAAGCTTTAAAAAGAATTCAACTAAAAAATTTCAAGTTCGATAAAATTTTTTTTGCCGATTCTTACCACAAAGCTGTCATCAGTGAATAAATCGTTTGCCACTACTGTCATGATCGTCCATGTAGCCAATTGATTCTTTTGCCTGTTATTTAAGCACTAAATGGAAGAAACAAGAAAAAAGAAATAGCATAAGATACCTGTAATAAGATTTTTCTTTTTCAATCGAGAAACTGAATCACATGATCGACATTCATGTTATATAGTCCAAAACTAATAATCTTACTTCAGAGGCGTCATTTGCCACCGAGAACAGCGCATGGAAATCTGCCCGCACAGAAGGATCGGTACAAGTAGGCAACGACATTGCAGCCTCCAGTATGGCAAAGAAGTAATCACTAGTTTCAGACTTGACGCTACCAGCCTGAATCAGCTGTATTGCAAGCTTTGAAGCCTTACCAAACTTTCCAGGACTCTTGATATGCGAAGCTATCTTTTGCATTGCCTCTATCACTTGCTTCTCCGACGCATCCGTTGTCGTCTTAAACCTCAGCTTCTTCTTTTCAGGGACTACCGCTGGGGCTTCGGCTGAGAAAAAAGGTTGAAGATTTCATCTTCAGTGAAGATCATTAATACACAAACCTAATAAATAAATAGAATTCAAATTTAAGGAAATCTCCTAAAGCTTGAAAATCATTTTTTCCAATAATCTTCTTCATGTGATCCTGTTCTGTTCTATCTAATTGTATGATTACGCAAAGCTTTCTTATAGTCCAATTGAGTAAAATTCACCATCCTCACTGCCCTAGAATAAAGTTTAATCTCTCCTTACTTTCTTTTGTTCCTCAACTATCTAAATGATTAAAACCTACATTTTTCTCAGGAACCAAACAGAAAGCAAACCGATAGTCCTCGTGTTTGCTCCACGGCAGCTCAAAAGCAAACAAGAAAAGGTTGCGAAAAGGAGAAAAACCGAATTTCCAGAGCCACAAAATTTGAACCAAAAGAGGCCAAAAAAAAGGAGGAATTTACCTTCAGGAGTTGGTTCCACTAGTTTGGGACGCTTGAGCGCGCTTTTGACGACCGGAATCGGAGGGGGAAGAGGAGAAGTTTCTCCGTCGGAAGCAGCAGATTTAGGGCGGAGCTGTGAATCTTGGAATTCAGACGGAGGAGTAGGAGGATTTGCAGAAGGCGGAGGAAGGCCTTCAAAGAGGTTGTCGGCCATTGTAGAAGTCTTGTCTCCTTCTGAGATTTTCTCTGAAGGTGTGAAAAAAGTTATTCTCCTTCTTCTTCTACTTTTCTGGGATTCTGCAATAGTCTCCGGAAAAAAGTTGGAATATTAGCATTTTTCGCTACTTTTTTTTTATAAAATAATACTCGTGTCCCTAAATTATATTGATATTTCATGGCATCCTATAAGTTTAAGGTATTTCGCTTTTTATCCCCTGAATGTTAAAATCTCTTTTACTCAAATCCTTTCAATTTTATTCCACTTAAGACTGTTAATTTTAGTCAGGTCAATGGGTTACTACGCGCGAAACTCATTTACATTACGAGTCATTTATGGGTTTTTTTTTTTTTTTTTTTTTTTTTTTTTTTTTGGGGGGGGGTTTTTTTTTTTTTTTTTTTTTTTTTTTTTTTTTGTGAGAGAGTGTCATTAATGTTTTTGTTTTCTTTGATATGAAATTGGCGGTAATTCGTGTCACGTGTTATGTTCGTGTCGTGTTTTTATCGTTTCTTTTTAAATTTGCAATTAATCCGAACACGACCCGTAACACTAAATTTTTTAAAAACCGCAACACGAATACGACACGACCCGAAATTGACCCGTGACACGAAATTGACCCGTGAATCCGAAATTGACACGAAAATTGTATACTTTTATTTAGTTTTTTACATATTAAAAATAACTTAAAATTCATAACACACTCAATTACAATAACATCCATTGAAATTAAGCAAATAATAGTATAAGATTTTAAATATAACTATTATGATATCACAAGTTCATAATAAAATTTAAAATATGAAATGAAAAATATATGTATTTTTTAGTTTTTTACGAGTTTCGTGTCGTGTTCGGGTTAGGCGGGTCCAACCCGAAATTGACCCGTGTTTTTCGTGTCAATTTCAGGTTGACCCAATTTTAACCCGAATCACTTTTTTCTCAACCTTAACCCACAAAATTTGTGTCGTTTTTGAGTCGTGTCGTCATATCGTGACCCATATTACCAGCCATATATGAAAATCATCCATATTTTAACTCGTAAGCATAAATTTAAAATGTAACGCTCATGAGTTTCTTGCCAAAAAATAGCTTTGTTTTTTTACCAAAATATTAATCACTCCTCTCCACCTTGAGATGGTCAAGTTTAAATCTTCCTACTAAATCTAAAAATAAAATAAAAATAAAAATAAAATAGAGTACCTCCTCTTCGTTTCACAAACAAATTAACAAGATTTAAGACTCTAAAATATACTAATTTGAGTCTCCAATTATATATGCTGGAGTTTGATTCTAAATACATTGTCGGGGTTAAAAGAAAATTATTGAACTTACTTTTAAAAGTATATGAGTATTGATTTTTACTTCTTACTCTTAATTAGTACTATCTTGTTAATATAGTTATTTAATTAAAAATAATATGAATTTAGAGTAAGGAGTAAAAATTAAGACACATTTTAAATGGGTATTTATCAAGATTTTTCCCTTGTTCATATAGGAATAATCAAGATGTCATGGGCTAATGAAAGTAGAGAAAATATTACAGAATGTATCTTCCACTAATTCAAGATGTTGAAATTATCGTCACTAGAAGCAAGGGAATCAAATAAATTAGAAAAAATCTGCTTCAATACGTACCTATTTAGTTCCGTGTATTGTGTAATTAAAACAGTGAAGAATATCTCAAGTTTTTTAATAAAAAAAAACTCAATAAATAACTTATAAAAGACTTCAAAAAATAACTTATAAAAGACTTGAGAGGTTTTTATAGAAAATTTGGAAAAGTTAGAGAAAAGAGAGTTAAGGAGCTGAGAATTGGAAAATTGAGATAATTGAAAAAATTGGAGGATGCGGATGTACGGAGTAGAATGGTACAGGGGATATTCATAGGTGAAAAAATTGCAAATTATTTTTTATTTTTAAAAACTTCACAAATTAAAATAGGGAACAATCATAACTCAAAGCAACAGTCATATTAAAAACCGCATGGTAGGAGCAGACACATCTATAGACTGCCTGACGAATCGCACTAATTAAAGGGGTCTACCTGATCAGATCAGGCCATCCAACAAGCTTGGAACTAAGGTTCGGATTAGGACGGACAATTTTGATAGCGACACGATGATATAATTTAAAATTTACATAAAATTAATGAGTTTGAGTTTATTATAAATGAGTTTGTGTCATAATTAGGTTTTAATAAATGAGTTGAGTTAGGATTAACCTTATAATATAAAGGGACATGAATTGACACGATTAACTATACGAAAATAGTAGAAAATAGGCCAATATGAAAAGCTTAAGAAAGTATATAGGCTAACTTTTAGTTATAAAAATTAATAGACCAAGTTATGGTTTATAACCAGATAAGTTATGGACAAACTTGTCAAGTTATGGTTCATAGCCGGACAAGTTATGGGCAATAACTTGTCAAGTTATGGTTCATAACCAGACAAGTTATGGACAAAAACAGTAATTTGACCTATTTATTAACTTATGTAAACTATTGGCCTATTAATTTTAATTCATCTTAAGTCTTAGCATATTTCCTTCTTTCTCCCTTAACTATATGTGTCATATGTAATCTAATTATATGTGATATAACATGAAAGTTAATATGACATATTAAATACAAATAATGTAAATTTTGGTATTTGTAGGTAAAATTCATTTATTTTTCTTAAAGAAAAAGATAAATTGACCAATGAACATATTAAACCTATCATGATCGTGTTAAATAAGTTATTATAATATTAGTTATTTATTTAATATATTAATTTAACAGATTATACAACTTGACACGATTAATAAATTGGTCATATTTAGGTTGATATTTTTGACACGTTTAATAAATAATTTGTGTTTAAGTTAATATTTCTAACACGATTAATAAACGAGTTGACACGAACACAACTCACTAACACGAATTATTACCCTAGTTCAGATAGTATTACACCGAGCACTGAGCCAACAAGGTGGGTCATAGGCCAACCTTTCTGACCCAACACATATTTAGAACACTACACACGTATATTAATTTTATAATAGTGGAGTTAGAATATATTATTAAAAAAATTAAGAAAAGCAAAATTACATAATAATTATTGTAAATGCTATTTACATTTTATACTACAAAATTTAGTAATTATTTTAATAATTTAATTTAATTTTTGCTATTTGTAAAATACTTTAAATTTTTTGCTACATTTCAACATTACTAGTAAAATTTTGTTATATGTCTACGGAAAAAAAAAAAAAAAGGTTGATGATCTCATGATCAAGTGCTTCAATTAATGGCCTCATATATAATGATCAATCTCATCCTTGACTTTAATTACAAAATTGAACTTACATATCTGTCTTAGATTGAATGTGTTGTTAATTAAGATATTACAACTAATTACAATAAGGAACAAATCCACTAGATTTGTATTATTTATTGCAGTACTTACGGCGTAAAATACTATTAAGGGGTGTGATCAGTACTGGGAAATGAATTTCCACGAAATCAATTATAAATTGTTATCAGTTTATGTCCCTCAAATAATATTAACTCCTCGAGAGTTCGATGACAAACTTTTGAAAGAATGGAATATTCACCAAATTAAACCCAAAAAGAATAAGCAAAAAGAAAAAAGAAATCTCCTAGTGGATAATTAAAGGAAAAACAAAAGGAAAAGAAACAAGTGAAGGTCGATAAAGATTGTGATATATTAGTTTGAACCATAAAAATTAGATCCTCAATGATAGTTCATCATCAGAAACTGTTATTATATATAAACATTAGTTGATAAATATAATGTAATAGATGCATACTAATTATAAACACTTATACATATATTATAATTTATACATAATTAAATTGGTTGAATACTTCATGGTTAAAATATGCACATCTGGAATAATATATTATATACAATAACTTTCTCTCATCATTTTTGCTACAAGAGGAGTACGTGCACCCCACGATATCACGAGCACGCTGCCCCACACAAACAAACCCTAACTCCCAAGAACCAAACACCATTTAACACTCACACACACATATAAGTAAGAGATTTTAGCTAGTGAGGAAAAAAAAAATACAAAATTTCTTAGACACACCTTCTCCTCCCATTTCCCAGATCCTCCTTTTTCCGAGAACAGACAGTCCTTCTCTTCACCCCCAAAGTTGTTTTTCTTGTTCTTGTAATTTTGTTAATTTGGAGCTATTTCTGTGTGTGTGTATAATATATATATATATATATATATATATATAATATACTCTCAAGCCCTAGTTATCTGTCTTTACACTAAATTACTTTTTCTACTTTACTTTTGGAAAGCTTAATTACTATATAGTTCTCTCATGTTCCTCTTTGTTGAATATCAAGCTTAGATCATCCCCAGGTTGTTTCTCTTATTTTATTTGTAATTAATCTTTACGGTACTCGTGTACTTTATAAGGTGAATCCAAAATTCTTCTCTCTTTTTTTTTTTCTTTCTTTTTCTTAATTAGTACTACCACTGAGGTTTCTGCATATTTCCCAAAAATCGTCATGATCACAACTATACTACAGCATATATAATCAAGATCTAAGAAGAGATATTGTCATCGTTTGTACTATAAGTTTTATTTTTTCTAGGGTTTCTTCTAGCTTCTTTCTAATTTCTTGTTCCGGCAAATAATATTGATCAATATGGCGAACCGTTGGTGGGCCGGTCAAGTGGGTCTTCCCGGAGTTGAAACCTCGTCGACGTCGTCTCCGATGAAGAAACCAGATCTGGGGATCTCCATGAGCAACACCACCGCGCAGACGGCCGGAAACAGCGGCGGAGGCGACGAAGAAGACGAGAGAGACAACAGCGACGAGCCGAGGGAGGGCGCCATCGACGTCGCCTCGCGGCGGCCGAGGGGCCGCCCTCCCGGCTCGAAGAACAAGCCAAAGCCGCCAATCTTCGTCACCAGGGACAGCCCCAACGCGCTGCGGAGCCACGTGATGGAGATCGCCAACGGTGCCGACATCGCCGACAGCGTCGCTCAGTTCGCCAGGCGCCGCCAACGCGGCGTTTGTGTCCTCAGCGGTAGCGGCACCGTCGCCAACGTCACTCTCCGTCAGCCGTCCGCCCCTAGCGCTGTCGTCGCTCTCCACGGAAGGTTCGAGATCCTGTCGTTGACCGGAGCCTTTCTCCCTGGTCCGTCCCCACCCGGGTCGACTGGTCTCACCATATACCTCGCCGGCGGGCAGGGGCAGGTCGTAGGCGGGAGCGTGGTGGGCCCGTTGGTGGCGGCGGGCCCGGTGATGGTGATCGCGGCCACGTTTTCGAACGCCACTTACGAGAGGCTGCCGCTAGAGGAGGAGGAGGAAGGCGGTGTAGGTGGATCGTCTCCGGGGATTGGAGGAAGTGGAGGGCATCAAAGTGGTGGTGGCGGTGGTGGGGGGATGCAAGAGCCGGTGTCGTCGGGTATGCCGGTTTATAATTTGGCGCCGAATTTGCTTTCGAACGGAGCTGCTGGACAGTTGAGCCATGATCAGGCCTTTCCGTGGCCTCATGGTGGTGGTCGACCACCGTACTAGCTAGTTGATTCATCATATCATATATATAATGCAGTGAATGGACAGTTTAGAACGACGAAATGTTTGAAAGATGTTAGGGCAAAGGGAAGACCAGTAAGTTGATCAATTTCCTAGTTTCCTTTTTTTTTTTCCACTGCTTGTACTTCAGAAATTTAATGATGATGATGATGATGATGATAATTAGTATGGACTAGTAGTGTAATATGAATCTCTGTATATTTTGGAATAAGTATTGATCAGCTCATTTTGCCAATTACTAGCTAGGATTTGGTTAATTACTGGTCATCTCTTATTCTTGATCTTCCTGATCTTCATTCTTGATCTGGGTATTAGTTATTTCATTATTATCTGCACAATTTCATAATTACATTGCGAAATTTCATAATTCCTTAAACTTTTTGACGTTTTTCTTCATATATAGCTGATAAACGATATTTGTAGATGTCTTTGATCAATGAAATAAAATTTTGATAGAAAGAAACTACAAATTTCTTACCTATTTAATTGTAATTTACACTGAGCAAATAAATTATAAATTCCAATAAAGAAATGAGTAGAGTTTGCTATATATTTGTACTATTATAACTTCTTATATATTCCCTCCCATCTTGTCATCTAAAAGTATCTACCTGAAAACTCAATTATTTTTATGCTCATATATTATTAATTATAGTTGACAGATTCTGATTTCTGAATGCTTGTTAGTTGTTTGTTGCCCTTATTTTGCAAAGTAAGATGTTTTCCTCCTTTCTCTTGCTAGTTCACCCTAATTAAGTTGGTTTTTCAACACTAATACTGAACTAATATATATATATATTGCAGGCCTTTAGTTGCCAAGTAAGGCCGAAACGCATTAATACACACTAATTAATCTCTATAAATCTTCCCCTGAAAAATATCTATAAAATGATCTTAAATTATTAATTGACCACCTAGCCTTAGTGATTTTCTTTTATATATAATATAAAACTGCAGCACTTTTATTTTTAAACAAACTTTTTTTGTCCCGTACATAAACTATATATAAATTCAAGGAATTCAACAATATCTTTTCTGTCTAATCAAAGTTAAAGCTTATATATATTTATTTTATCACCGTATATCTAACATAAAACAAGGCTTGGCCTGACATTCTCTCATTTCTCATTGCAAGAAAGTTATCTACTAGTACTGGAGTTTTACTCTGCAATTATATTATTAGTCGAATATTTTATGTTTATTATTTCCATGAAGTGAGTGCCGCGCCCATTCTTCATTTAAGAAATTGCTTTTTTTAATGGTTTATTTAAGGAACTTTTTTTTCTATAAAGTATTTAAGTAACTTTTTTAGACTCGTTTGGTTGATGACTAAATTATTGTTAATGAAAACATATATGTATGCATATAAATATAGAAGACCAATTCATCTTACCTGGGCAATGTCCCAATTTTATAATATATTTGCCGGCCGGCAAATGTTCCACATTTTGGGATGCACTATTAAATATAACACATGATTTTCTTAGGTCATCTTGGGGAGAAGAAACGGGATAATTCAAGAAGAAGACGACAAGGGTCTCACGTTAATCCAAAGAAAAACATTAATGAAGATTCATTAATAAAAGAGAACCCTTCTCTCTCTCTGTTGCTTTTTATTTTTTTATTTTTATACTGAAAAGTTGCAATATCATTATAACAAGATAAAACTATGTATGTAGTTCATAGCACATGTACATGCATGTCAAAACTAATATAATAAAGAAAAGTTGTATACATATCCATATGATAATGGGGTAGATCGATGATTGTCCACCGAAACATTATCAAAGGGCCTGAGCAAAATGCCGGACGTTCAACCCTATTTACCAATTAAATCGCCCCAATAATTTCTATATTAAACAATTAAATGTGATTGTTGAAGTTAAGGTCAAGATCAGAAAAGATTGCCAACAATTTTGGCAGCAGCAATTTTTTTTAATTTGGATATATAACAAAGTCCATGAAGCTGAAAATTGAGAATTATATATATCAGTAGTGTTGCCAAATGCTTTAAGCAGTAAATTAATTGATCAAAGGTGGATTCAAATTGGGATCATTATCATATAGGATAATCGCTAGAAAAGAAGTTTCAATGATGTCAAATAATTACTTAAAAAAAAATTCACTTCAAAAAACATAAAACAACGTTTTTTTCACAGTTGTAGGCATAATCTAAAATAATTTTACAGTTAATTCCGCCACCAGCTATAGAGTTCGAATTTCTCTATCCCTGAAGTAGATTTTTTTTTTTTTTTTTTTTTTACTTTATATATAGTGTCTCATATCATAAGTCCGATCGATAATAAGCATGCTTTGTAGGATAGACTTAAAATGAAGCAATACTACGGATCACAAGGGCATTGTTTCGCTCTAAGATCTAAACTAATTAGTTGAAATGTTTTTAGTATATAGTACCTACAAAAGGTATATATAGATTACTTTCGTGCGGGCCATGAACTTCGTATGGATAATGAGTCAGAGAGGCTCAGGGTAGTAGTAAAACCATAATTGCAAGACTTGGGTTGGATTATTCTTTGTTTACTCCTCCGAGGCTTTGGAAATGATTACATGGTGTAATACATACACGCGCACATATATATATATATATATAATATATATATGTTACACATCATTCAAAAGCGATCGATGACCATGAAAAATTAGAAACAATGTTAGTTATTAATAATAAATAATCCCAGTGATTTCATTTTGATGGGACTGCATGAAATTAAACACTTGAGTGGTACATATGTAGGACCAAATAATTTTGTCATAAGAAGACTATTTAATTTGTTAAAAGATGTTTGTCCATAATATAAATCTTCAAAAATCATGCCTTAAGGAAAAAACTAATTATGGAACTTCAAAAACGAATCAACCTTTAAACATAATTTATTGGTCGTCACATTACGAAATAACACTAAATTTAAAAATAATAAAAGGTGTCCTTTAAACATAATTTATTGGTTAGTTAGCTAATGTTTGTTTGATGTCCATAACAGGATGTTTTTCAAGACACTCAAAGGATCCTAGAGTTCTAATAGCAACAAAGGAGGGCCCTCTTCACATGGATTCACATGGCATTGCTATTGAATTATCCATAATCCATAAATATTGTTAGGATTTTATTAGTTGGCATGTTTTGGAAATAGAATGTAAAATTTTTAAAATAGGTACAATCGGTAATTAGCGTTTTTGAGTAGATCATGAAGAGATTTTTTCTGGTTAATTGTTCTAAATTTAGAATGTTTTTGAAGAAGGGAAAGCATATTCGTACAAGGCAATTTTAAAGAAGATTTCAGGAGATTTGATTGCTTGTGAAATCATGAAGATTCCTGGAGATTTGAGATAAGTTCTATTTGAGGAAAAAAAAGATAGTTTTGATATGATTGAGGTATTCAAATTAGGAGATTTTACAGATATTATGAGAGATAATTACGTGAAAAAAGGGCAGCACATTTGGGTTGACTTGGAGAGGAGATTGCCTGTGAAATATATGGTGGCATAATAATCCTATATAGGAGGAGGAAATTTGGTCATGTAATTTAAAAAAGGATGCATGTCCTTAGAGTCCAAATTGTATTGGACTTTCCAAAAAAAGGGCAGATGAATACATTTATATATATGTTAAGCATTAACGTGGAGGTGTTCAAGAGAGTGGCCTATGCTTTAGTCGTGGGTGTGTGCCTTTAGAAGAGAAATATTGAGCTTTTATGTTTTAAGGTTTTAATGTAATTGAAGGCCATATTTAGGGCAATGAGTTTTACAGAGAAAATTTCAAAAAAGTGTCTGTGAGTTTGTTAGCCTTTGAGTGCATATTGAGATCGTCTTTTGGGAGAAAGCGCACTGACAGTCGAAGGGATTTCGCCGTGTAGTTTGAAGACGAGTGGTGCTTGCTGGACAAGGCCATTAAGGAGATTTGACACAATGGCAACAACATCAAGGAGGGAGTCTTTGGGTGTATAAGTCCGATTGGTGTTTGTAATCTTGAGACTTAGTGGATTGGCGTGGCCCCACAGATGTAAGTGTGCGTACCGAACTGCGATATCATTTCTTGCATGATTACTTTTACGTTTCTGCATTATTATTTCCTGCTTGATTACTTTGACGTTTCTGTACACAATCATTTTAGTTAATCGTTAGTGTTACAGAAAGTGTTATAACACTCTTTGGAAGACCTACGTAAAAAATAGAACTTTCAAATATTAATTATATAAATATGTATAAACCCAAATTAATTTGTTCGGCACACAACATTCTAATGATAAAGCAGCAATGATGTTGTTATAGGAACCCACCAAAGATTTAACAAATCACAATTACATCAACTTGATTAAAATAATATTCATCGATTAAGACTAACAACAAATGAAACCTCCTTTTTAATTTCTGCATATATACATACATGATACATACACACACACATATATATATATATCGGTTATTATATTGTTGTAGATTTATAAACAGCATTTTCAGAGAAAAGCCCTAAGTTATCCTTGAAAGTCTAAAACAAGGAGATTAAACTAATATTACTTTGAAAAAGAATCCGTAAAACCAGCTTTAAAGAAATGAGGACCACACGAGACAAAGCCTTGGCTAGCTGCATAAAATAAGAAGAAAAAAACGAAAAGCGAGATTGAAACAAATAATTTAATAATGGGAACATTGATATTGGAGAATTATGCATCAGCAAATGGGAAAATGAGAGGCATGTTCAGTAGTACTAACTTTCCAAGTTGATGATCGATGCTCAATATAATTTTATTTTTATTCCATGCCCGATGCACGCACTTACCGTGGATTACACGTTGCCATATGTTTATTTAAATAAATATATATATATATATATTTATACGCGTACACATTGATTATATATATTAGGTGCTCGTTGACCTAACTTTTTAATATTACAGTACTATTTATATTACATATCCATATAAAATCCGCTATATAGCTACTAATCAGTGTGGCGCTCCATTTCACTGCATTAATAAAAAAGTTAATTTTGATATCATATCATTATGGAGCTGCTTAAGACTTCTTTTTTTTCTTCAGCAGAATATGCTTATTTAAACTAGTTATTAACTTTTGTAATTCACACGTTTCTAGCAATTCCCTCTCTCTTGTGTACTCGCAAAATTAAAACAATTATACAACGTATACATACCCACGAGTGTGGGACAGCTCCTCCAATGTAATATGTGTAAAAGTGAAAAGTGAAAAACTTTATAT